GACACACACATACACACAGAACACACACACAACACACACAGAACACACACAGAACACACACAGAACACACACAGAACACACACAGAACACACAGAACACACACAGAACATACACAGAACACACACAGAACACACACAGAACATACACAGAACATACACAGAACACACACAGAACATACACAGAACACACACAGAACACACACAGAACACACACACAGAACACACACACAGAACACACACAGAACACACACAGAACACACAGAACACACAGAACACACACACAGAACACACACACACAGAACACACACAGAACACACACACAGAAAACACAGAACACACACACACAGAACACACACAGAACACACACAGAACACACAGAACACACACAGAACACACACAGAACACACACACAGAACATACACAGAACACACACAGAACACACACAGAACATACACAGAACACACACACAGAACACACACAGAACACACACAGAACACACACACAGAACACACACAGAACACAACACACACAGAACACACACACAGAACACACACAGAACACACACAGAACACACACAGAACACACACAGAACACACACACAGAACACACACACAGAACACACACAGAACATACACAGAACACACACAGAACACACACAGAACACACACACAGAACACACACAGAACATACACAGAACATACACAGAACACACACAGAACATACACAGAACACACACAGAACATACACAGAACATACACAGAACACACACAGAACATACACACATACACAGAACATACACACAGAACACACACAGAACACACACAGAACATACACAGAACACACACAGAACATACACAGAACACACACAGAACACACACACAGAACACACACAGAACACACACAGAACATACACAGAACACACAGAACAGAACAGAACATACACAGAACACACACAGAACACACACAGAACACACACAGAACATACACAGAACACACACACACAGAACATACACAGAACACACACACAGAACACACACAGAACATACACAGAACACACACAGAACACACACAGAACATACACAGAACACACACAGAACACACACAGAACATACACAGAACACACACAGAACACACACAGAACACACACACAGAACACACACAGAACACACACAGAACACACACAGAACACACACAGAACACACACAGAACATACACAGAACACACACAGAACAGAACACACAGAACACACAGAACATACACAGACACACATACACAGAACATACACAGAACACACACAGAACACACACAGAACATACACAGAACATACACAGAACACACACAGAACACACACAGAACATACACAGAACATACACAGAACATACACAGAACACACACACACACACAGAACACACACAGAACATACACAGAACATACACAGAACATACACAGAACACACAGAACACACACAGAACACACAGAACATACACAGAACACACACACAGAACACACACAGAACACACACAGAACATACACAGAACACACACAGAACATACACAGAACATACACAGAACATACACAGAACATACACAGAACATACACAGAACACACACACAGAACACACACAGAACAGAACACACAGAACAGAACACACACAGAACACACACAGAACACACACAGAACACACACAGAACATACACAGAACACACACACAGAACACACACAGAACATACACAGAACACACACAGAACATACACAGAACACACACAGAACACACACAGAACACACACACAGAACACACACAGAACACACACAGAACACACACAGAACATACACAGAACACACACAGAACACACACAGAACACACACAGAACATACACAGAACATACACAGAACATACACAGAACACAGAACACACACAGAACACACACAGAACATACACACAGAACACACACAGAACATACACAGAACACACACAGAACACACACAGAACATACACAGAACATACACAGAACACACACAGAACACACACAGAACACACACAGAACACACACAGAACACACACAGAACATACACAGAACACACACAGAACACACACAGAACACACACAGAACATACACAGAACACACACAGAACACACACAGAACACACACAGAACACACACAGAACACACACAGAACACACACAGAACACACAGAACATGCACAGAACATACACAGAACACACACACAGAACACACACACAGAACATACACAGAACACACACAGAACACACGCAGAACACACACAGAACACACACAGAACACACACAGAACACACACAGAACACACACAGAACATACACAGAACACACACACAGAACACACACAGAACACACACAGAACATACACAGAACATACACAGAACATACACAGAACACACACACAGAACATACACAGAACATACACAGAACATACACAGAACACACACACAGAACATACACAGAACACACACAGAACATACACAGAACATACACAGAACACACACAGAACACACACAGAACACACACAGAACACACACAGAACATACACAGAACACACACAGAACACACACACAGAACACACACAGAACACACACAGAACATACACAGAACACACACAGAACATACACAGAACACACACACAGAACACACACAGAACACACAGAACATACACAGAACACACACAGAACACACACAGAACATACACAGAACATACACAGAACACACACAGAACACACACAGAACACACACACACACAGAACATACACAGAACATACACAGAACATACACAGAACATACACAGAACATACACAGAACACACACAGAACATACACAAAACATACACAGAACACACACAGAACACACACAGAACACACACAGAACATACACAGAACACACACAGAACACACACAGAACATACACAGAACACACACAGAACACACAGAACAACATACACAGAACACACACAGAACACACACAGAACATACACACAGAACACACACAGAACACACACAGAACATACACAGAACATACAGAACATACACAGAACACACACAGAACACACACAGAACACACACAGAACATACACAGAACACACACAGAACACACACAGAACACACACAGAACACACACAGAACACACACAGAACACACACAGAACACACACAGACACAGAACACACAGAACATACACAGAACACACACAGAACATACACAGAACACACACAGAACACACAGAACACACACAGAACACACACAGAACATACACAGAACACACACAGAACAGAACATACACAGAACACACACAGAACATACACAGAACACACACACAGAACACACACAGAACACACACAGAACACACACAGAACATACACAGAACATACACAGAACATACACAGAACATACACAGAACACACACAGAACATACACAGAACACACACAGAACACACAGAACATACACAGAACATACACAGAACATACACAGAACACACACAGAACATACACAGAACATACACAGAACATACACAGAACACACACAGAACACACAGAACATACACAGAACATACACAGAACATACACAGAACACACACAGAACATACACAGAACATACACAGAACATACACAGAACATACACAGAACATACACAGAACATACACAGAACACACACAGAACATACACAGAACATACACAGAACACACAGAACATACACAGAACACACACAGAACACACAGAACATACACAGAACACACACAGAACATACACAGAACACACACAGAACATACACAGAACATACACAGAACACACACAGAACACACACAGAACACACACAGAACATACACAGAACATACACAGAACACACACAGAACATACACAGAACACACAGAACACACACAGAACACACACAGAACACACACAGAACATACACAGAACACACACAGAACACACACAGAACACACACAGAACACACACAGAACACACACAGAACACACACAGAACACACACAGAACATACACAGAACACACACAGAACATACACAGAACACACACAGAACACACACAGAACATACACAGAACACACACAGAACATACACAGAACACACACAGAACACACACAGAACACACACAGAACACACACAGAACACACACAGAACACACACAGAACACACACAGAACACACACAGAACATACATAGAACACACAGAACACACACAGAACATACACAGAACACACAGAATACACACAGAACACACACAGAACATACGCAGAACACACACAGAGCACACAAAACATATACAGAACACACAGAACATATACAGAACACACAGAACATACACAGAACACACAGAACATATACAGAACACACACAGAACATACACAGAACATATACAGAACACACACAGAACATACACAGAACATACACAGAACACACACAGAACACACACAGAACATACACAGAACACACACAGAACATACACAGAACACACAGAACATACACAGAACATACACAGAACAGACACAGAACACACACGTACCTTAAAAATATATTGATGGTAATGCCAAGCGGCAGGTATGAATACTGTGAGTGTTGGGTAGCTCTCTCTCTGGTTCTAACATCATCACTGGGGTTCTAATGTCATATTGGAGTAGGTTTAACATCCTCAATATTGTTATAACATTTTCAGCATATTTCTAACATAATTTAGAGAGTATAAACACCTTAATGGTATTTGCAACTTCATCAGTGTAGTTCAGAACTCATCAACATTGTTTGTGTAGCTGCCTTATAATTCCGGAAGCTTCAATAAAGTTCTAAGTTTTCACTAGAGTAGTGGCAGAACTCTGTACCACTCATTAGCTACATAGCCAGGTAACTTGAATGGGGGGACCTCTGACAAGCCGGCGGCTTTTTGTCCTCGTCGAGACCACTAGTGGTAGTGATCCTCCGGTAAAATTCATGTAAATACTGTGCACATAACATGCAGTTTTTGTTTTACATATAAATTAAAAAAAAGACCATCTGATTTTTTTTTACGGCAGACTGTACAAAACAAGATGGAATATTGGTGGCAGCGGTGGGATGTTGTAGGAACATTGGTGGCAGCGGTGGGATGATGTAGGAACATTGGTGGCAGCGGTGGGATGTTGTAGGAACATTGGTGGCAGCGGTGGGATGTTGTAGGAACATTGGTGGCAGCGGTGGGATGTTGTAGGAACATTGGTGGCAGCGGTGGGATGTTGTAGGAACATTGGTGGCAGCGGTGGGATGTTGTAGGAACATTGGTGGCAGCGGTGGGATGTTGTAGGAACATTGGTGGCAGTGGTGGGATGATGTAAGAACATTGGTGGCAGCAGTGGGATGTTGTAGGAACATTGGTGGCAGCGGTGGGATGTTGTAGGGACATTGGTGGCAGCGGTGGGATGATGTAGGAACATTGGTGGCAGCGGTGGGATGTTGTAGGAACATTGGTGGCAGCGGTGGGATGTTGTAGGAACATTGGTGGCAGCGGTGGGATGTTGTAGGAACATTGGTGGCAGCGGTGGGATGTTGTAGGAACATTGGTGGCAGCGGTGGGATGTTGTAGGAACATTGGTGGCAGCGGGGGGATGTTGTAGGAACATTGGTGGCAGCGGTGGGATGTTGTAGGAACATTGGTGGCAGTGGTGGGATGATGTTATTGGAATGTTGGCCAGCCATCGTGGGCGACCTGACATAGCATCCTACGCCCACTTGGGAGACATTCTGACCAGCGAGTGAAAGTGATGGGGTCAGAAAAGATCTTCAACGGCATTAGTAGCTTTAGAACCTTCAATACAGTTCTAGAATCCTTAGAGAAACTTAAACACATTTGGACATTTCAAGCAGCCAACATAAAAAAAAGGCCAGCTGCTTTATTACAGTTCTGGAAGGTTGAGTATAATTCTTAATGGTTCAGCATAGTTATGGCCAATTGTAGCTCGCGGGTGAGTAGTTGAGTGTCATAGAGCCTGGCTGGTAATTAAGGGCCAACTAACGTAATTATCTGCACCTCATCTTGCTCAATGGCCGTGTGCAAACTGTTTCTTAACCCACACTGCATCTACACCCAACACTGCCTCTACACCCAAAGTGCCATTACACACACACTATCTCTACTCTCACAATGCTTCTACAACTACACTGCCTCTACACCCAAAGCCTATCAACACCTGAAGTCCCACTACACCCACACAAATTCTACACTCACACTGCTTCTCTATATATGGCATGATGGTCATCATCCAGGCGGATATATGGCATGATGGCCATCATCCAGGCGGATATATGGCATGATGGCCATGATCCAGGTGGATATATGGCATGATGACCATGATCCAGGCGGATATATGGCATGATGACCATGATCCAGGTGGATATATGGCATGATGGCCATGATCCAGGTGGATATATGGCATGATGGCCATGATCCAGGTGGATATATGGCATGATGACCATGATCCAAGTGGATATATGGCATGATGGCCATGATCCAGGTGGATATATGGCATGATGACCATGATCCAGGCGGATATATGGCATGATGGCCATGATCCAGGTGGATATATGGCATGATGACCATGATCCAGGTGGATATATGGCATGATGGGCATGATCCAGGTGGATATATGGCATGATGTGCATGATCCAGGTGGATATATGGCATGATGGCCATGATCCAAGTGGATATATGGCATGATGACCATGATCCAGGTGGATATATGGCATGATGACCATGATCCAGGTGGATATATGGCATGATGACCATGATCCAGGTGGATATATGGCATGATGGCCATGATCCAGGTGGATATATAGCATGATGGCCATGATCGAGGCGGATATAATGTGCGGCCCGCCAGGATCCACATACAACCTCCATCTTGTAACTGCCTCCAACATTTATCCCTCAGATTCCCCGGGAATCCGCACCAAGTCTGGATTCACCCGGATTCACGAACGAGCTTGCCACTTCCCTCCCGCAGATATGTTCCCCATTGTGTGGTACAAATTTTTAAATGGAATGGATTTCTGAGGGTATATATTTGTTATATTTGACTAAGATGGGGGCCAGCCATTCGCTCTCCAAGTTTACATGTAACTGTCATGGCCAATACCGACTAGTAATGGAAGCCCAATGCATTGATTGATATGTAAAAATGAAATGGCTAGTCCACGTGGAGCTGTTAGTAGGGTGTAGTTGATTGGTGTATCAACAGCGAATGGGAAAGAGAACCGGCGCTGCTCGACCAATAGCAAAAATGGAGGAGAGGCGCATTGACTCCGTGGCAAGAAACCTGCAACTCCATCCATGACGTCATCACCAGCAGCCATCCGCAACCAATGAAAACCGCCACAGCGATCACCCTGGCAACAGGCCCCACCCACTCCACGTGGAGTACAAGACTCATCATGTAGTCCCTACAAATACATTGCTGTAATACGTCCACGCGTCAGTATTTACAAAAAACCCAGATCCTGTCATTATCATAATCCACTTACCCCGACTTGGTGATTACAAATGAAGACCTATAAAGAGAGGAGACGCTAGGAACAAAATGAGAAGGAGTGGTGGGTGTGGCAAGAGCGGGCAGGGGCGCCAGGGTGAGGCGGGAAACAGCTTCACCCAGCCATAATGTGACCAGCTTCACCCTTAATGAGTAATCAGCGGCCCGCGCACCGCGCACCTCATTAACCCATTACCACATAATTACACCAATTATTTCTAGTTTCCTGAAATGTTTACTAGACGATAAAAAGCGGATATGTGATCAGTGCGCTGAGCCCAGGCACGGTACACAGCCACGGTACGGGGTGCTGGGTACACAGGCACGGTACGGGGTGCTGGGTACACAGGCACGGTACGGGGTGCTGGGTACACAGGCACGGTACGGGGAGCACGGTACACAGGCACGGTACGGGGTGCAGGGTACACAGGCACGGTACGGGGTGCAGGGTACACAGGCACGGTACGGGGAGCACGGTACACAGGCACGGTACGGGGAGCACGGTACAGAGGCACGGTACGGGGTGCTGGGTACACAGGCACGGTACGGGGTGCATGGTACACAGGCACGGTACGGAGTGCAGGGTACACAGGCACGGTACGGGGTGCTGGGTACACAGGCACGGTACGGGGTGCTGGGTACACAGGCACGGTACGGGGTGCACGGTACACAGGCACAGTACGGGAGGCACGGTACAGAGTGCAGGGTACACAGGCACGGTACGGGGTGCTGGGTACACAGGCACGGTACGGGGTGCATGGTACACAGGCACGGTACAGGGTGCACGGTACACAGGCACGGTACAGAGTTCATGGTACACAGGCACGGTACGAGGTGCACGGTACACAGGCACGGTACGAGGTGCACGGTACACAGGCACAGTACGGGGTGCTGGGTACACAGGCACGGTACACAGGCACGGTACGGGGAGCACGGTACAGAGGCACGGTACGGGGTGCTGGGTACACAGGCACGGTACGGGGTGCAGGGTACACAGGCACGGTACGAGGTGCACGCAACACAGGCACGGTACGGGGTGCAGGGTACACAGGCACGGTACGGGGTGAATGGTACACAGGCACGGTACGAGGTGCTGGGTACACAGGCACGGTACGAGGTGCACGGTACACAGTCACGGTACGGGGTGCTGGGTACACAAGCACGGTACGAGGTGCATGGTACACAGGCACGGTACGAGGTGCACGGAACACAGGCACGGTACGGGGTGCAGGGTACACAGGCACGGTACTGGGTGAATGGTACACAGGCACGGTACGAGGTGCACGGAACACAGGCACGGTACGGGGTGCAGGGTACACAGGCACGGTACGGGGTGTAGGGTACACAGGCACGGTACGGGGTGCAGGGTACACAGGCACGGTACGAGGTGCACGGTACACAGGCACGGTACGGGGTGCAGGGTACACAGGCACGGTACGGGGTGTAGGGTACACAGGCACGGTACGGGGTGCAGGGTACACAGGCACGGTACGGGGTGTAGGGTACACAGGCACGGTACGGGGTGCAGGGTACACAGGCACGGTACGGGGTGTAGGGTACACAGGCACGGTACGGGGTGCAGGGTACACAGGCACGGTACGGGGTGCAGGGTACACAGGCACGGTACGGGGTGCAGGGTACACAGGCACGGTACGGGGTGCAGGGTACACAGGCACGGTACGGGGTGCAGGGTACACAGGCACGGTACGGGGTGCACGGTACACAGGCACGGTACGGGGTGCTGGGTACACAGGCACGGTACGGGGTGCAGGGTACACAGGCACGGTACTGGGTGAATGGTACACAGGCACGGTACGAGGTGCATGGTACACAGGCACGGTATGGGGAGCTGGGTACACAGGAGTAGTAGGGAAGGCGCCTCACAGGTACCTTTTTTTCTGGGAGAAAAAAGGTACCTGTGCGCCCCAAGGGTTTCAGGTAAATTTAGAATATCCCCTGTGCGCCCCAAGGGTTTCAGGTAAATTTAGAATATCCCCTGTGCGCCCAAGGGTTTCAGGTCCAAAGGGAAAAAAAGTGCCTGTGCGCCCCAAGGGTTTCAGGTAAATTTAGAATATCCCCTGTGCGCCCCAAGGGTTTCAGGTCCAAAGGGAAAAAAGGTACCTGTGCGCCCCAAGGGTTTCAGGTAAATTTAGAATATCCCCTGTGCGCCCCAAGGGTTTCAGGTAAATTTAGAAAATCGTGTATAGCGCTTGGGGGTTTTCAGGTAAATTTTGTCAGTCGCAGATTTTAGAAGTAAGGATTTCTTATGAGAAAAATAATTTCCGAGACTTAGAAGTTTGTTAAAGCCTTATGGGAGAAATTCAAATAACGTGTGTAGCACTTTAGGGCTTCCAGGAGAACTCTACGGACATATTTTACATGTTTTCAACTTACAAAATCGTCTATGTAAGCCTTAGTTATTCATATAAATTTAGAAAATCACCTGTGTAAGTCAGGGTTTTCAAGTCTCGTACATCACACCCCCCCTCCCTCCCCCCCTTGCCTCGCAATCTGTCGCGTCGCCTTTATTTACTTTGCGCCCAGCCAGCCAGTCGGCTCTTATCATATCTTATCTCCATAATATCTCTACCGTCCCTCCTCTCTCTCTCTCTCCTCCTCCTATTTCCTTACAACTATTTTCAGAGTTTCAAATAATCATAGAAGTTTATTTATATGTTTATGACCGAATTTGTAAAAGGACCATTTTCAGAGAATATTGTCTTAGATGTTTTGTTAAGGAAAACAGACCACTTATCCATAACATTTAGTTTTATATCCATTTACGGCTATTTCATCTGTAAAGACCAAATTGAACAGAGCCCAGTTTTAAGCTCATATTTCATCAGAGTCCAGTTTATACCAAAAATTCGCCAGAGTCTACTTTGAGAGCAATATTCGTCAGAGACAGTTTTAGCTCATATTTCATCAGAGACCATTTTATACCTAAAAATGAACAGAGTCCACTTTGTCAGCAAAATTAGTCAGAGACAGTATTTAGCTCATATTTCATCTGAGTCCAGTTTATGCTCAAATTCGCCAGAGTCTACTTTGAGATCAAAATTAGTCAGAGCCCAGTTTTAAGCTCATATTTCATCAGAGACCAGTTTATACCGAAATTCGCCAGAGCCTACTTTGAGAGCAAAATTAGTCAGAGACAGTTTTAAGCTCATATTT